CTGGTGTTTGCTTGGTGCTCGTCAGCACCTCTCCTGATCCCACGTTGGGGGGGCTTTCACACCCGGGATCGCCCAGGCCCTGTCTTGGGCGGCTCTGAGGTCCACCGAGAGGGTCAGAGGAGTCCAGGGGGCTCCCAGGTCCTGACGCATCTCCTTCCTCGTCACCTTGTCATCTGGGAGCCGGGGCTGGGGACCCATCCTCTTGGAGCCCCCCCCTTTTGTAGGCCCCAGCCCGTGCACCTCAGTCACCCTTGCCCTGGTGAGGACGGCTCCCAGTGCCGGCCAGGCGGGCACTCCTGGGCTTTGCAATGACCTGACCACATCCCCTGTGGGCGGACACACTGAGCCCACACGTGGCGCCCCCAGGTTGACACGCTGTCGTGTGCCTCGGGCCTCCTCGGCCGTGCGTCCCCAGGAGCCTCCCGTGTGTGAAGATTCCGGTGAGGCTGCCAAGGTCCGCTTCTGGGTGCCGAGGCCTGGAGTTCAGAGCTTCTGAGTTCAGGGGTGAGAGCCTTTCCTAAAATGAATTTTAAAAAATTATGCACGTAAAATATCACTTGCTGGGATAAGACCAGTGACACAGAGGCATCTTCAGAAAAGGGTGGCACCACCACCTCTGCCCCCGTGACCCTTTGTGTGGGTCCCTCCTACAGTCCTTCTCACTGACTTGGCTCCTTCCTGATTTTTTTTTTTTAATTAACGTAAGAAACAGTTGTAAAAGTTGGGGGTGCACCCCCCAAAAAGTCTAAAAGCACCACCTTCCTCCCTCCCCTTGGCCCCCCTCAGGAGGCTGGAGGAACCCTGCAGGCCTGTGTTTCCCATCCTCAGCCGTTCCCAGCTCTGGTTTCCCTGGTATCCGCACACAGCATGAGGCGTTCCCAGACAGACAGATGTGGAACTCATTTGCTGGATTCCGAGGTCCTGCTTTACCCCGGACGGGATTCCTGGCACCAGGGGAGGAGAGATAAGCAGCGTGCAAAGACCGTTGCCATAAAGACGCCTGATTTGTCCGTGGAAAGTCCAACAGATGCGCTGTCCTGGACGAATCCCCGTGCGGGGGTGTCGAGTCTCTCACCCACCGCTGCCCGCTGGCCGGGAGCTGGGTGGCCCGAGGGTGGCTTCTGGCCCCACCGTGGCCATGCTGCCGCAGGCCTGCGCACACTGGTTCCCCGAGTCTGCGGTGGCTGGCGGCGTATCTCTTCTGCAGATGAGGAAACCGAGGCTCGGGCGGTGCCTTGCCTTCCCCTGACCGCGGCCAGCACGTCGTGGAGCCGGGCTTGGACCGCGGGGAGCCGCCCAGAGCGCGGGGCTCAGGCCGTGTCAAGGGCACCTCGGGTGGAGGCTGCTGTCTTCACACCTTCCCGTACCTGCCTCCTGTGTTCGTTTTTCAGTTGCCCTTTAGCTTACGGGAAGTGATGCTGGTTCCTGCTTATGGCTGTGATACTGTTTCTTTTAAGATATTTATTCAAATAAAATAGTGTTTCCTCTCCCTGAACTTGGTGTCAGTGGGATCTGAGAGTGACTGCTCACTGCACGGCTGGCCTTCACACTGACACGCTCGTGTGTCCCCTCCCCTGCTGGGCCGGACGCACACGAGCTCCAGTCTCTGCCCGGTGCGGCTGCGGGGCCCTGGCGGGGGCTCCTCTCTCACCAGGTGCCGTCCCTACTGAGCCGCTGACCCTGACGTCCCCCAGGCCCACCCCGGGCTGCACCGTGGGCGCGGGGCCCGCGGTCCACAGCCCTGACCTGTCTGCTCTGACCCCACCAGGGTGTGGATCCTGGGGGCGCCCGTGCCTGCCGTTCTCCATTGCGCAGGCTTCCCCGCCCTCGAGCGGAGTCCGGCTTACAGGCAGGAGGAGTGGGTGACGGCCCGAAGGCTCGAGGAGACGGAGGTGGGCCGTGTCCCTGGGGAGGGCGAGGCCCGCACAGGCGGGACGGCGGCTTCCGGCTGTGCCATCGCCCGACCCAGTCAGGGGGGGCTCTGTGCCGGGCTGGAGGCCCTGCTTCAGGGAGCGAGTGCGTTCTCCTCGACCTTGGCTGCTTTCTGTCTCATAAAGGTCACGCGTGCCCGTTGTCGAAACCAAAGAGTTGATGTGGGTTTCGACTTTGTAGAAAAATTAAAAAAATGAAAAGCGTTGAAAGGAAAACGGGTCTTTCGTAACCCCTTCTCCAGACTCCAGCAGTGACGTTTTTCTCGTGCATCCTCCCTGGCCGATTCCTATGTGACCTGATTTATTTTTAGAGTTGGGTTAGAATCAATGAGAAATTTGGGGAATATGATCTAGAGTTTTGGCAAGTGTGTTTCTCCAGCCCCCAGAATTCCGGCTCTCAACTCCCTGAGGATGTCTGTGCTGCCTTCACGGCCGTCTGGGAAACGAGCTTGGACAGGACGGCTGTTCCAGGGCTGCGGTGCTTTCGCTGGGATGGGAAGACCCGGGCGTGTGCTGGTCACGCCTGTGGCCCGTGTCGTGGGAACGCCGGGCCCTGCTGGTTGGAGGTCCCATCCCATCGAGTCCGTCTGCCCGTTTCCCTCGCTCCCCGCCCTCGGGCTTGGCGGCTGTGCCTTCCCAGGACAGAAACGTCCTGCCGTTGCGTCAGGGCTTGGGGGTGGCGGCCTCTCAGCCTCAGCTGCTGCAGCAAAGAGCCCCCAAAGCACTGCGCTGGAGAATGAGGACGTGTCTGTCTTGTGAAGTGGTGACCCCACGGTCATCACAGGCACCCCTGGGGGGCGTGGCTCTGTCCCTTGTGGCCCTTCCCCTCGTGGCCCCACTGCCCCTTGCCAGACCTCCCCCCGTGGAGGCTGGGCTGTCAGCAGCGGGAAGAGAGTGTGGTGCAGTGCACACCCTGTTGGGGACAACATGGTCCCGTGGCCACCTGCTCCTGCAGCCCTGGGTCGTGCGAGGACCGAGTGGAGTGGCCGCCTGTTCCCTGTTGGTTCTGCTTATTCGGGGCTCCCCCTGAGGACCTTTCATCTTCGTGCCTGGAGGGTCTGTTATTACATCAGTCTTAACGGGTGCATGTACATCCTCTGTGTCAAGGTCCCGAGTGGGAAAGCTCCGTGCATCCCAGTGGAAACAGATTTCATCTCGTCAACCTGCCGTCGATCGTTAGATGGGCCGGTCCACATGTGACCAGGAGAGGAATGCTTCCAGTGACCATGGGGGATGCGGTTGGTTCCAGAGGAGGCAGAGGGCAGGGAGGTGTCTGCATGGAGCGGGGGACAAGTGAGAAACAGAACGGTGGCCCACCCGAGCCCATCCCTGCTCTTCTGTGCCCACTGAGCCCTAATCCTCACCGCTGTCCCAAGCGGGCAGGGCAGAGCCTGAGGAGTGGCAGCCAGTCGCATTGGTTGCACGTGACCTGCTCTGGCCAGTGAGGTGTGAGGGGAGGTTGCCGGGAGCTTCCAGGAGGTTTCCCTGCTGATGGCATGGGGGAGGCATTGGGAGACCCCTGGAACTGTGGCAGCCACGGTGCCAGCACAGGGACTCGACTGAGGCCACCAGAGCAGGAGGCAAGGACAAGCCTGGGTCCAGACACGTCTGTGGGCCACTGAATTAGCCAGCCCTGAAAGCCCTGTCTCGGTCTTCTGGTTCTGCAGGAGAGCAGTTACCCTCAGTAGCCTTTAGACACCTTGAGTTGGGTTTTCTGTTGTTTGCAGCTTGAAGCATCTCATCAGATGCTTTAAGCCTGGAGTTTCACTGAGTAATTCTATCAACTGGAACTTCAGCTCCATCCCTGGGGTCCTGAAGAGGAAAATGATCCAGTTGTAAAATGGAAAATTGTCTAAAATGGGAATGAAAGGCATGTAAGTTATATAAGTGAAAAGGCTGCATGTAAACGATAGTTAGGTTAATGCAACGTTGTCTCAAGAAAAGCGCCGCGGTGCCGTCATCCCTGGACCTGACTGCCCTCCACTCCAGGGGCAGGTGGGGGCAGGACCCCACTCCTCTCTGTGGGGGCAGCATGGGACCACGTGTCCCGCAGGCCCTGTGCCTCGGCCGGGGTCTGTGGGCACACGGCCCAGGGAGCACTCCTGGAATGCCCGGGCCGGGTGGAGATGGCCTGCTGCTTCCAGGTCCTGCTCCCTCTGTCAGCCAGCTTCATAAGCACCCCAGACGCCTGCGAGCCGAGCGGCCCTGTGGCTGGAGTGGGGCCGGCGTGGGGCCGCCAAGGGGGTCTGGAGGTCCCAGTCGCGGCGGGCACTGGTGGGGTCTTCTGACCGAGTCTCTTGCGGCCCGGGCGGAGGGGGTACCAGTTAACCCGGGCGCGGCCAGGCTAGCGCTTGCGAGGCCGGGTCTGGGTGAGCCAGGGTGAGCCGAGCCCACCGCGGGACAGACCAGGCTCCTCTGTGCGTCCAGGGCATCAGCAGCGGCCGGTGAGGCCGGTGGGGCTGGCGGGGTGATTCATAAGGCCTGCTCCTACTCCTCGGGCGTGTGGGGAAGATGCCAGGTTCCGACGAGGCTCCGGCCCCAGGGTGCCCCCAGACGGCAGGCCAGGGGGCTCTGCGTGCGGAAGCCACCGGTGCCGGCTCGTTGCTGCCGAGGCTGCGGCCCCCGAAGGCCGAGTCTCTGGTGTGGAACGCGGCCTCGCCAAGCTGCCTAGGCTGGCGTTAATCATTGAGCCCCAGTGTCGCGGACATCCGGCCTGGAGGCCAGGGGGCCACATCGCTTAGCGGGGCGGCGTGACCACGAGGCCACGCGCCTCCCATCCTTGAAACTTAAGCCAAGGTCAGCTCGGAGCAGCGCTGCCCTCGGAGGCACCTCCAGATTCTGCCCGTGCCCCGCCCGTGGGCAGACAGCTTGGGGCAGGAGCCGGGCCGGCGAGGATGGTGGTGCCCGGGAGGTGCCCTGGGCCAGAGCATGGCCGCAGCTCCCAGACCCCACGCCTCACTTTTAGGTGGGGGGCGTGGAGCCAGTGGGAGGGGGATGCGGGCGGTGCCCCTCGGGTGTGGCCTTGGGCACCCCCGCCTTTGCCCTCATGTGTCCCCTTGGCATTTGCAGGGCACAGCCTCCGTCCTCCAGCGCCGGGCCCCCGGTGAGGAGTACGTGGAGGTGGGGCGCCTTGGGCCCTCCGACTACTTTGGTGAGTTGTGGGGTCCGCTCCCTCCTGGGGTGGCGGCCGTTGCACGGGGCCCCAGGAGGGCCTGAGGTGAGGTCCACAGGGGCCGTGGGAGGACCTGGCCGAGGCCTGGGCACCCCGGCGGCCCGTCCTGGGTGCCGGCGGTCCGAGGAGGGCAGGACGCGGGTCAGGACCAGGCCTGGCGCCGTCTGAGTTCCAGGCGATGGTGTAAGTATATCCCAGCACTTTGTGGGCCACGCTCGCTGCAGACGTTTGCTCAGGTGCGGCCTCGCGTCCTGAGGTTTCGCTTTTCCCCTAAATTGGCAGCCCTGACGCTCTCTCTCGCCCCCAGGGGAGATCGCGCTGCTGCTGAATCGGCCCCGGGCGGCCACCGTGGTGGCCCGCGGGCCCCTCAGGTGCGTGAAGCTGGACCGGCCCCGCTTCGAGCGCGTGCTGGGCCCCTGCTCCGAGATCCTCAAGAGGAACATCCAGCGGTACAACAGTTTCATCTCCCTCACCGTCTGAGCCGTCGCTCCTGCTGCTGTGCGCTCGCACGTCCAGCTGAGGCTGGCAGCTGGGCCCCGCCCCTGCCTCGGGCTCACCTGGGAGTAAAGGGGTCACCTCCAGAGGTGGCGGCCCCGCCCGTCTCCCTTCCCCGTCCCTCTCTGGCTCCTCTTAAGGGACCCGCCTTCCTCGCCACGTCTTCTGGGGCGAGGGGCAGCTCTGGGAGGCTCTCCTCTCCGATCAGGCTGGGCAGCTCCCGGCGGCCGACCCCTGTGATGCGAGGCCACCCGGTCTGTGGCCAGGGTGTGGGGCGATGACGTCCCAGGGGGTCCCCCCAGGCACTCTTGGGCTTGGAGTGAGAAGCTGAGACTGAAGAGAGAGAGGGTCCAGCCCCTCCCTCAAACGCCCGCCCCCGCCGCCCCACAGAGGGTCCTCGCAAGATGCCAGGGGCGGGGAGGCTCTGGATGCTTAAGCCAGCTCCGGCCTCAGAGCGGGGAGGCACCCAGGAGCCCACGGCATGTTTAGGGGAGTGGGCGTGACCCTCCCCTCTCCTGGAAAGCTGGGCGCACCGACCAGTTCGCCTGACCGTCAGAGGCAGGGGTCATCCTCACTGGGCTGAGACGCCCAGGGGAGGAAGGGCATATGCCATGTGAGCCTGGGGCTCTCCGAGGTGCGGTGAGCGCTGCTCTCGGGGCCGGGGGAGGCCCCACTTTTGCAAGAAGCAAAGCAGCTTCTTGGAGACTTGGGAGGAAGCGGAGGGATTTTCTCAAATGCTTTCTGGATGAAGCTGTCAGGAACAGAGTCCCCTGTGAGTCATTCTCCAGCAGACAAGCCTCCCGTTAACCAGGAGTCTCGCCCTGGTGGGAAAGCCCGTTATCCGAGCCTCTCCCCTCCCCATGTAGGAAGAATGTGAGTCAGACCAGCCCTGGGCCCACACACCTAAGTCATCAATCAATCGATTCCCCCTCAGAAGTGTCGTCAGGCCAACTCTCACGTGAGCTGGAGGGGCCTGGGGCCCGTGCCTCATGGGACTCCTGGTGACCTGAGGGACAAACGAAATAGTGCAGTTACCCCGATTTGCTCCTGCCCGTGCAGCCCGGGGAGGCTGCCTAGTCCGGGGTGACCCCTACCTTTGCCTGTGGGTGTTTCTGTGGTGTGTAAGCCCCGCCCTATTTATTGCGATGCTCTGAATGCCGCACGTGCTATTAAATGTGCAATGAAATACATCTTCCTGACTCCATGTTTTGGTCTGAAATCTTTAACAGAAGATTTTATTCCTTTTGTTTTGTTTCTGTTGTGATAAAATAGCCACAACATAAAACTTACCCATCTTCACCATTTTTCAGTGTCCGGTTCAGGGGCATCAAGTACATTCACACTGTTGTGTAACCATCCCCACCATCCGTCTCCAGAACTTTCTCGTCTTCCCAAACTGAGACTCTGCCCCCGTTACTCACTAACCCCCCCTCCCCCTCCCCC